TGAAAAAACAAACATCATAAAAACATGTTCCTGCATACCTGGCAGCACGCAATCAATCACAGCATTATACAATCAAATCACTGTGCCATATCAGCTGAGTCATTGGATATTTCTTCTGTGATAACCAACAACTCAAACCATACTGTCAAGATGCTTCTGATTTGCAAGTGTGACATCATGCATTAGTAGCTGTGTTTTGTGGTGCCACTAGATTTGATTTTAGGCATCAGTGGAAATTTGTACATTTCACCAAAGATGAACGGTGTTAGGATTCTGTGGAAAAATAAACACAATTTTTATATCCCAACATTGCAAAATTTTCCACTAATTAAGCGTTCAATCCCGCTAATGAGACTTTATGATCAATGAAGATTAGGCCTCGCCTAACCTTGTGTAATGTAGGACTATTGATATTAGAGAGGAAGTTTGTCGATCACTTTATAAGTTCAGTGATCTCAGATGTGACTACCTTGTGCTTTCCTCCCCCCCCCCATGTTGGTAAAATTGAAATCTTAAGTTTTGCCATGTCTGCACGGTTAAAAAAGAAGAAGAAAGCGTTTCAATATAATAAACATGTATTTTTGAGGGCATTTGTTAAGCGAGTCATTTCCATTTTAACATAGTGTGGAAACCCACGAAAGAGCTGACACAACGATGTGATGCCCAAGGCAGCAAATATCACAGTCAGACAGTGAACTTATTATTTGTAACAGACTGTAAAAGACATAAACAAAGGAGTCAGCTGGGGGCACTTGTGTAATTATAATGATAGCACTGTTTCAAATGATATCAAGCTTATTTTTCTGGATTATGTAAGATTTCTTTCAAAAGAGGCTCTGAATCATGGTCACAAGCCAGAAACCAACGTAAGAGTCAGGCGAGTGATATTGTTCAGGCTTTACACAACATTTTCCGCGGAGCTGGGATCTCTCAGCAGCTTCCACTGATAGCAGAAAGGAAGGACTAGAGGAACTAGAGGTTCAAAGTATGTGTGAAACTGATATCCTGAGCCACAAATCATCCATTATGCTCTTGTACCCCACCTGTTACAGGATAATTCTTACAAAATGAGGCACTCCAGCACAAATTTTGGGTTATTTTTTGAGCTGTCTAATCCAACAAATGTTGCAATAATGGCAACCATGCGTCTTAAACTTGCTTTAAAAGGAATTTTTGGCTACCTAGGGGCAGTCAAAACAAGTTTTAGACATTATGCAAAACAGATATGTTGTTTCCTCTTCCAAGTTTGTTTTGCTTTAGCGGGGAAAAAATATCAAGCCCTTTAGCTTAGGTAACTTTGCCCATTTGGCTAATTCAAGTCACTGTACTGGACCTTTTGACTCTATTTATGACTTTAACACCTTTAATCCATTTTCTGCTAAATACGATTACTGGATTTGCAGTTTATTAGACCACCAGCCCATTCATTTTGTTATTATCATCATTTTTAGTAAAGTTTTTATCATTTCTTTTAGTTAGCATGAAATTAGCAGAAATGCTTATCACCTGATACTTTCATACACTATAAATTTAGCTTGATAACCAATCTTGTCACAAGGGCTCGCCACAGCAGCTTGCACTGCATGTCTAGTTGTACGCTGGATGCCAATGGTCAGTTGGTTAGCATTATAGTGATGCTAGGTACTAGGGATGCACCGATACCGATACTGGTATCGGGTATCGTGTCCGATACTGTAAAATGTGTGTGTACTCATACTCGTAAAAGTTAACCGATACTATGAACCGATACTAACTTATTTCATTAGTCAGAGGGTGGCTGGTTATTTCTGTTGTAGTTACGCGCTAAACAGGCACAGGGTTAGACGAGTGAGACTGGCGGCTCCAGATAAAAAAGAGAAACTGGAGGCTGCTGTAGCTAGGCTAAACAAAATGTCAGCAGTGTGGACCGGAACAGCCAACTTTAACTCAGGTTTTGGAAAAGCGATGAAAAATGTCAAGAGAAAATCCACTGGCAGTTAAAATAACAGAGGCTCC